TTTCCCAAAGCCACCTTGGATGGAGCGAGCTGAAGAGCTGCCGGACCCCGATCCCCAGGGGGGGAAAGAAGGGGAGACCCTGGGAGACCCCCTTGCAGGTGAGGAGCTCATTCCCTTGAGTCCCCTATGCCCCCCAGCTTTCACCCTCCCTCAAGCGATCGGGGTTGAGGTGGCAGAGCTCTGCTCTTGCCCTGCCTGTGCTTTTATTCACCATCCCCCACCGTGACGTGGTTTCCCTTCAAGAAATAAGACGTTGGTCTTGTTTTCAACCCGCAGCAGGACGTGCCGCCAGAAGAACGAAGGAAGAACCAAACCTGAAGCGAGAAAGTGGTGAGCGAGAGGGAGGGCACGGAGTCGCAGCAGCGAAACGGGAAGGAAATGTTTTGGAGAGCCCTCGGCGGGAGGCAGCTGCTGAGAGTGAGACAGGGCCAGAAGGGGATAAACTCATCCCTCACGAAAGAAACCAAAAGGTCCTCAAAGAATCCAAAGCCCAGTACAGAACCGCAACCAAGGAGAAAAAGTACACGTGCAACGAGTGTGGAAGGAGTTTTGGACAGAGCTCCAACCTTATCGTGCATCAGCGTATCCACACCGGAGAGAAACCTTATAAATGCCATGAATGTGGGAAGTGCTTCAGGCAGAGCTCAAACCTCATCGTCCACCAGAAGACTCACACGGGAGAAAAGCTCTACGAGTGCCCCAAGTGCCAGAAGTGCTTCCCAGACAGGTCGCTGCTCATCCGGCACAAGAGGGTCCATGTAGGAGAAAAACCTTTTAAATGCCAACAGTGTGGGAAAAGCTTCATTCACCAATCGAGACTTCTTGTCCATGAGAAGGTGCACGTAGGAGAACAACTCTACCAGTGTCCCGAGTGCGGGAAATGCTTCAGGGACAAATCAAAGTTCCTCCAGCATCAGCGGCGGCACGTGGGAGAACGTCGCTACAAGTGCTACGAGTGCGGGGAGGAGTTCGGGCAGAGCTCGGACCTCAACCTCCATCAGAGGATCCACGTGGAGGAGAAGCTCTACCAGTGCTCCACGTGTGAGAAATGCTTCAAGGACAGGTCCACCCTCATCAGGCATGAGACGGTGCACACGGGAGAGAAACCCTATAAATGCCACGAGTGCGGGAAGAGGTTCACCCGCAGCTCGGACATCATCGTCCATCAGCGGACGCACACGGGGGAGAAACCCTTCGAGTGCTCCGAGTGCGGGAAGAGCTTCAGCCACCGGTCAAATCTTTTCCGACACCAGAGGATGCACACGGGGGAGAAGCCGTATAAGTGCGAAGAGTGCGGGAAGCAATTCGGGCAAAGCTCGGAGCTTATCGTCCACCAGCGGACCCACACCGGGGAGAAGCCCTACCACTGCTCCGAGTGCGAGAAGTTCTTCAGGGGGAGGTCAACCCTCTTCAGGCACGAGAGGCTGCACACGGGGATCAAGCCGTACGAATGCAGCGAGTGCGGGAAAAGCTTCGGGCAGAGCGGGGACCTCATTGCACATCAGCGTTTCCATACGGGTGAGAAGCCCTACCAGTGCTCCCAGTGCAGAAAGTTCTTCAGCAACAGATCCAGCCTCGTGCGGCATCAGCGGTTGCACGCGGGCGAGAAGCCCTACAAGTGCCACGAGTGCGAGAAGAGCTTCGGGCAGAGCTCGGACCTCATCGCCCACCAGCGAACCCACACCGGGGAGAAGCCCTACCCCTGCCCGGTATGTGTTTTTTTTTGTCCAACCTCATCGTGCATCAGAGGGTGCACAGAGGGCTTTGCAAATGCCAGAAATGCGGGAGAAGCTTCCAGCCCAACTCACGTTTTGGCGTGGCGGTGGGGAAGGACTCTCTTCAGTGCCCCCAGTGTGCAGAGGGTTTCAAGGAGGGGTCAAACGCCATCGAACACCAGAGATAACGCTGGGGAGAAATGGCTTTGTAAGTGCTCAGAGCAGAGAAGGAGTTTTGGGAAGGGTTGAGATGTTGTATGTGAAAGAGAAAAAAAATCAGCACTTCTCCTAGGTAAAATTCTTCATTTTTAAAGACTGCAAAAGTGGAAACCCCCTCCACACACAAATGATCTAAAGTAGGCTGATCAGTAAATAATACACTTTTTTTTTCCTAATTATTTCCTCTTAGTATTGAGTTTACTCAAAGGGCTTGATGTGTTGGTCCGTGATCCACTCACTCCCATCACTCCCCAGTCAAACCATCTGCTGTTTCAGGCTGTCCCTCATCCCATCATCATCTTTAAAGCTCTTCCTTAAATCCTTTGATGTTTTTCAGGCTGGGTACCCATCAGCACCCCAAAGATACTGTAGAACTCTGTCTTCCTCTGCACATCCCTCCCTCTCCCATGTATGTATACACCCTCAATAAAAAAAAAAGGCCCTCTGTTTCTAAGGAATATCATGTTTTCCTTGGTATTTTTCTGCTAGCTAAATAGCTATGTATTAAATTTTTATTTGCTCCTGTGTGGCAGGGAGAAGTTACTGCTGTTAAAAAGCAAAGAGAGGAAAATTGCAAAGAGCTTCATAAAGATGTTGGTGACCAGGGGATGGGAGCTGACTGTTGATAATCTAAGAGAAAACAGTGAGATCTTGGTGAAATCATGATTGCAGTGTCCGGGAACCAGCCCAGGGCTGGTCCTTGACCCTTCCAGCTCTGCATCCTGGAGGAAAGCAAATTTTGGGGAGATTACACTTTCCCAACAGGCTTTTGGAGGGTTGGGTTTGGGGTTTTTTGAGGGAATAGGGTGGGTTTTTCTTGTTCCTGAGCTGGGGTTGAGCTTGGAAGCTGCTCAGATTTGGTTAGTGGAGCAAGAACAAGCTTTGGTGCAGGAAACTCCAACTAAAGCCTGACCACAACTGGGGAAACTGGTCTCTTTGGCCAGACAGTTTCTGCCTCGGTTCCCAGAAGAGCCAGAACAATGTAACCTACCCCAGATGACCACTGCACTGTTTTACAGAGCATCACGAGATCTTAACCCACAGGAGAATTATTTCTGCTGGATGTGTGGGTCATCTGGACAATGCACGTGACCCCATTTCCCCGAGGACCCTGGTGGGATAAAGATGGGACAATCGCCAGCGGGTGGTGACGAGAGCAGAGGCTAAGCTCAGAGCTGACCCAAGGATGGGGAAAAAAGGCAAAGGAGGTACCTGGGGACCACATTTCTGTTGTGGAAAGGACCTTCAGAAGAGGGATGCACACGAGCCGCGCAGCGAATGCCAAGTCCATTCCATGTGCTCACAAAAACACACATTATTTAGTAAATAGTTTTATGTTTTAAAGCATAGATACAAGTATTTTCTCCCCCATCCTTGCTGACTCCAATGTGGAACACACAGATCCCACACTTTCCATATGGCAGTGGCTGTTTCTTCTGTGCTTTTCCTTATAGATCCAGGAAGCTCTTGAGCTTTTTCTCCACCCTGTCTCTTTTTGTCCTCAGGGACGCCCTCTGGGTTGAATTATTCCAGGATTTCCTGCCGCTTAATTGTCCCAAATGCTATTTCTTCAGTGGGTACAGTGACGTGGAGAGTTACAACGCAGCAGCGTCTCATGCATGAGAAGGATTTAGCGTGTATTTATTTTTTCTCTCCCTTCAGACATCTCCAAGGACAGAAACACCCCACCACCACCACCACCCCCCCAGTAATCTGGGGGGTCTCACCACCCACATGATGAGTTGTGGGGGTTTTTTCCCCGTTGGCATACTTTTCCCTTGGTGAAGCGTGGGAGCTCCATCACCTCTGCAACCCCCGCCACAACTCCCCAGAGTATTTTCAGTCATCCGCCGTGTGTTTGCCTTCTCTCTAGGTTCCAAAACCCCCATAAGAAGCCAGAGACACACCCAAAAAAAAAAACCAACCAAAAAACCCCCACAAACAAACAACCAGGAAAGAGTTTAATTTTTTTTTGCAAGGGGAACTTTTCCCAACTCTGTGCTGGGCCAGTGCTGAGCATCCCAGGGCTGGTGCCAGATCCAGAACCCTCTGCTCCTGCACTCCCCTGGTACCTACGGCCACCCCGGATGCCTGGGTGACCCCCACCTGCAAACACCTGGGTCCCCATCCCAGCTCATTGTACCCCCCACTGCTCCCAGCGTGGACCCCCGGGGTCGTTGGGGAGTGTTTTTTAGAGGGATTGGTGACCCCCTTCCCACCCAGGACCACCCTTTACCTGCTGCCACATGGCTCGGGACCGTGTGTGGCCTTAGCGGGACCTTGGCATCCCTCCTTGGTGACCCCCTGCCATCATGGATCATCTACAGGGGGATCCGCCCCGTCCTCTCACTGTAACCCACTGCCAGGTGGGGACATCACCAGGACATCAGACACACACCCCCAAATCTTCCAACCCCACTGTGGGGTTACCAGCCTGGTTCTGCTGGAGGAGCACCAGGCTCCATCTCAAGCCCAGATGTTCCCCCACCCCATGGGCTGCCCTCCTGGGTTGTCCTCCACCACATGGTCCTTTGATTCCAGCAGGATTGGTAGTGCTGGAGATGCTGGATGCCCACCATGGTCCAGGGGAACCATCCTGCACTGTGGGTATGGAGATGTAGGCGACAACCCCCTAATTTTGGGCCCAGGCATGAAAGTTTTGGACCGGTACCATCAGCGTAGCCTCTGGGCTATGCCACAGAGCAGCTTCAGGTGCACACTCCAGCCATAGCACCAGTACTGAGGAAGTACTGGGACCAGTTTAACCCCAGCGCGATGAGAAGAGAAGCAGGGAGAGGCAGGCACACGGGCACAGAGGGTGCCCAAGATGTGGAGATGCCAGCATCTTCATCCCCAGACTGCCATGTCCTCCCAGTAAAACCCAACAGCCCCAGCATGGACCTCCCACTGGTGTTTCTCATGATGGCACATTTATCCCACCCAAGACACCAGCGCAGACGACTGTCCTCCTGCAAACAACAATGATGACCCAGAGCATACCAGCAAAGGAAAGAAATGGGTTATTTATTGAACATTTGATATAAATCACCTCCGACGGTTTCCTTTTGGGACACCGATCCTTTCATGTTGTTTTTCTTTCACTGAAATCTCCTGTTTTTCCCTTGGATTGGGTGGAACAGACACTCTCTCCACTCCCCAGCATCTACAGTGGAGATCTTTTGATTTTTCTCCACCGTTAAAAACATGTACACCTTCTGGAGAGAAAATGCTAATTCCTCTAACATTCCCCTAGTAATATAAAACTTCCTTAGATCTTTTTATCATATGCACAAATATCTAATACAAAAATAAAAATCTCCCTAGGAACAACCAACCCATTTTTTTAAGTCGAGGTTTAATGCATCGAGGCTGGACCTGCGATGGACACTTGGACAGGAGCTCAGCTAACCTTAAAAAAAAATCTAACAGCAAGATGTTGGAAAAAAGAGGGGATAGGGTAATAGAAGGGGTCTTACCAGGGACCAAACAGTTTGGACGAAGCTGCTGGAGGAGCAAAGTGAAGACTATTAAACGATCTACGCGATAATGTGAGGAATTAGGAGCAATTAGCCTTTTTCCATCACTGATGAACCCACGCTGTAGAGTTTAACTCTTTTCTTCCCCTGAGTAGTCTCCGATACACAAAAAAAGAGTTTAAATCTCACATGGGAGGATGTCCCACACTGCTCTTGTTTCTTCTGGTCTTGTGTGATCTTGGTGCCAAGTCAAGCCAAGCTGTTTCTCCTCTTCCAGGCACTTGGGAGGTTTTTTTTCTCCTCTGCTTCATCTCTGCCGGTCAAGGAGGTCTGATGCCTCCTCAAGGGGCTTTGCACACTCAGAGCACGGGGACGAGCCATCTCCCACGCCCACGTTGCTGGGACCATCGGTGCTGGAGTCTTCCTCTGAGCTCTTCCCACATTTTGGGCGTTCTCCAGTTCTCCGTCCTCTGTGTCCCCGCTGATGGACGATGAGGCTGGATTTTCTGGTGAACCTCTTCCCACACTCGGCGCAGGGGTAGGGCTTCTCCCCGGTATGGGTTCTCTGGTGAGCAATGAGGTCTGAGCTCTGCCCGAAGCTCTTCCCGCACTCATGGCACTTGTAGGGCTTCTCCCCCGAATGCCATTTCTGATGTTTAACCAGGCTGGATTTATTGCAGAAGAACTTCCCACACTCGGAGCAGTGGTAGGGCTTCTCCCCTGTGTGGAAGCGTTGGTGGGTGATAAGGTCCCCGCTCTGGCCGAAGCTCTTCCCACACTCAGAGCACTCATAGGGTTTCTCCCCCGTGTGCAACCGCTCATGCCTGAAGAGTCCGTACCTCCCCCGGAAGGATTTTTCACACTGGGAGCACTGGTAGGGCTTCTCCTCGGTGTGCGTTCGCTGATGGATGGTGAGCTCCGACCTCCGGGCAAAGGTTTTCCCGCACTCGAGGCAGGTGAAGGGCTTCTCCCCCGTGTGTACAATCTGATGGGTGAAGAGATTGGACCGTTGGCTGAACCTCTTCCCGCACTCGGAGCATTCGAAGGGTTTCTCCCCCGTGTGAATCCGCTGATGGACGATGATGTCCGAGCTGCGGGTGAACCTCTTCCCGCACTCCAGACACTTGTAGGGCTTCTCTCCCGTGTGCACTCTCTCGTGCCTGATGAGGGTGGACCTGTCTTTGAAGAACTTCTCGCATGTTGAGCACTGGTAGGGTTTTTCCGCCATGTGGCTTTTCTGATGGGAACTGAGGTCCGAGCTCTTCCCAAACTCTTTTCCGCACTCTTGGCATTTAAAAGTCTTTCCTCCTCTGTGCAACCTCTGATGGCAAATGAGGTCTGACCTGTCCTGGAAGCATTTCTTGCAGTGGGAACATTCATAAAGACTTTCTTCTGCAAAGAAATGCCGATCCCCCTCACCCCAGGTGAATTCGCCCTTCTGCTCCATCCCCGGGCATCCCTCCATCCCCCGGTTGCTCTCAGAAGCTCTCCCATGGTTATTCCCTTCGGATTTTACCACCATTTCACCCACTTCAGCTCCATCAGGACATCCCTGCTCCATGCAGCATCCTTCATCCTCCCTCCGCATCCTGTCTCCTGCAGGGTTAAATGGAGGTTGAGTTACGTTTTGCCCCAGGATGGGATGGTACGCGATATACATCAGAGACTGTTTCCAGGGACCGGTAAGGAGTCATGGGATGGAGGGTGACCGCGGAGGGATGATTTCCAAAGGACCACCCCACCGGTACGATCCTCGCCCGTTGGTGGGGTGAAACGAAGGCAATGCCTGGTGGCTCCTCTCCCACACCCCAATTTCTCACCTGTTTGGATGCACCCAGGGACACCCATCTCCTCTCTCGCTGTGGGACCAGGTGCCACCGTCTCTGCCTCTTCTTCCATCCAGAGGGTGATTTTCGGGTGTGAGGCGGTGTTTGGGGGGGGGGGGGGGGGGCAGACACACTGCAGGCAGCGCTCCCTCCCCCAGGAATGCTATGGCCAAATTGCGGGTGGGACACCCACTCTCCCCCAGGGTTGGGGGATTATTTTCCACGACCCTGTCGATTGCAATGAGATCTACCCCCGTCACCCAAAATCCTGCAGCCCCCTGAGCGAATCTTTATCCTCTCCTTGGGGCAAATGATGCTGCAGGTCGCCGGACCCGGGGGTTGGGGGATGCGGTCCCGTCCCCCGCCCCCCCACCGTACCAGCTGGTGCC